GAGAACATCATGCGACGACTGGAATGGGAAGGAATGGGAGTGAAGATAGATGATCGGCAACTACACCACCTCCGCTTTGCTGATGACATTGTTTTAATAACACCAAACATCAGCCAAGCGGCACAAATGCTGGCCGACTTTGACCGTGAGTGTGGAAAGGTAGGACTACAGCTGAGTCTTACGAAGACAATGTTTATGAGAAACAGCCTCGTTCCTGACGCCCCATTTGCTCTCAACGGAACGACCATCTCCGAATGCAACAGCTATGTGTACCTAGGTCGAGAGGTCAACATGACAAATGACCTGGCACCCGAGCTGCACAGGAGGAAGAGAGCAGCTTGGAACACCTTCAAGAACGTCGAAGAAATAGCTAAGAGGACGAAGAACCTCCGGCTCCGGGCACATCTCTTTGATTCCACTGTTCTTCCTGCATTAACATATGCCTCAGAGACCTGGGCCCTACGCAAACAAGATGAGAACGCTATTCAGGTCTCCCAAAGAAGAATGGAAAGAGCTATGCTTGGAATATCACATTTCACTCAAATGAGAGAAAGAATCTGGAGTTCTGACATCCGTCGACGATCAAGAATCAGGGACGCTGTCTCATTTGCCAAGGTGTCAGAAATCAGATGGGCTGGTCACGTAATGAGATTTAAAGATGACCGCTAGACTAGAGCTGTTACCAACTGGATTCCACGGGATGTCAAAAGACCGCGTGGCTGCCCACCTACCAGATGGTCAGACTTCTTTGTCAAGATCATGAACGATCGGTTTGAGGCCCTTCGTGTTCCCGGAGCGAACAGATGCCATTGGGCAACACTAGCACGCGACAGGGACAAATGGAGACGTTACTGGCGCCCGCTCGAGCAAATCGAGGACTAACGGGAAGTTAAGTGATTAAGTGATTTTTCAGCTGGAACTGTGCCAGAGCTTTCTTTTCTTTTCTTTTCTTTTCTTTTTTTTGCCTTTTTGGGTCACATCCAGCAATGCTCAGGGGTTACTCCTGGCTTTGCACTCAGAAATTACTCCTGGCGGTGCTCGGGGGACCATATGGTTGCTGGGGATCGAACCTGGGTCAGCCACGTGCAAGGCAAATACCCTACCTTCAGTGCTATCACTCCTACCCTGTGCCAGCATTTAAAAAAATTTTTTTATTAGTGAAACACCATAAAGTACAGTTGTAGACTTACAAATTTTTGTGCTTGGGTTTCAGTTATACAATAATAGAGCACTCATCCCTCCACCAGTGCCCATTCTCCACCACCACTGATCCCAGTATCCCTCCCATTCCACCCTGCCTCTGTGGCAGGGCATTCCCTTTTGTTCTCTCTCTCCTTTTGGGTGCTGTGGTTTGCAAAAGAGGAATTGAGTTTTGCCAGCACTTTTAACTGGAGTTCTTTCCAGGCTCTTCTTTCCCACAGCTCACAGCTTTCTCCACATTGCAGCCTGGGTACGCTGCTCACGAGGGAGAGCGGGAACTGTGCTGGGTACAGCACTTAGGCCTGAACATTGCAGGGATGTGCTCTACCACTTGCCTGTGTCCTCTGCCCTAGAATATATATATATATATATATATATATATATATATGTATTCATGTATGTGGGACACTGGGGTGACACCCAGAGATGCTCAGAGCTAACTGCTGGCTCTGTCCTCAGGGATCACTCCTGGTGGGAATGGGGGACCGTACAGGGCACCAGATATCAAACCCAGGTCAGCTACATACAAGGCAAGCACCCTACCCACTGTATTCTTTGTTCCCCACCTCCTAGATCTTTTAAAACTCACAGCTGTTCTCCATTAAGATATGTTAAGTCCCTCAGGATCCCTAGGTCTACCCTTTTTCCAGACTCACTTCTTATCCCCCATAACCTCAGATTCTAGATCCTAATTTTATTGAATGCAGTGTCCTTTGATACACGGTGTTTCGATTACCTGGACCCATTTGACAAGCACCCATTATGCTTTCATGTAAAATCTTATCACGCCGAAGGTTGTGTGTTCACGGGCTCACTGGATGGCACTGTCTCGCCGCCCGCGTTTGGTGCTCTTGAGCCACTGTGTGTGGCCTGGATCGGAATGGCTGTTGGCCAAGGGCAGATGGAAGAAGAAACAAGGGCCAGGCTGGTCGATATCAATAGTAGTTTATTCCAATCCTCTTCACTCCTGTCTCTTTCTCTGCCTCCTTCTCTCCTGGGCCCCAATCTGGAACCTCTCTCTTTCTGGCTCTGACTCTGGATCTCTGGAGCCCGAGCCCTCTCGCTTCTGACCCCTCTCCAAGCTTACAATCTTAGTTTACATAGCAATCACGTAAGGCGGTGACATAAAGGTGGGTTGAATATTGACAAATCAACAATGAGAGGTAAAACCACTCCTCCAGGAGATTTACTCAAGGATAAAATCTCATCTAAAGAGATTGCTCCAGATTACTAAGAGATCCGCTCAAGGGTGGGATCCTAACAAGGGTGTGTTCTTTCCTCAGTTAGTAATATACTTAAATAGTTGTAGTGAATTTACTTCTAATATTTCTAGCAATGTCATTCTGCACATTAAGAGATATAAACACAGTAAGAGATATAAACATCTCATTATACATTCTGCAGTCCTCAGGCCAGGTTAGTCTTCCTAGCCCTAACAGGGTCCTAGTCTCATTGTTACTTACTTTGGATCATGATAGCATTTGTCCATGATCATGCCCTCAACTTATAGTTGAGTATCGTGACGCTTTGGCCTAGCCCATTTCGATGCCAGGGTAGCTCACAGCTTGCCCTGGGTCCATTCAGTCCATCGTCGGGACCCTGCTTTGGGGGTTCTAGGAACTAAGGGCAACTGAGTCAAGAAAGCAGATGCCCAGGAGTAAATATTATTCGGAGTCAATCAACTCCCAAGTTACAAAGCATAATATTAATTGTTTTCCTGTGTCCACACAGAAAGGACATTGCTTATAATACAAGTTCAGTGTCCTTAGATGGGTGTGACCTGATAAACCTAAGCTACCTGAGGAAGGACAAAAGGACAAATCCTACACTTTCAGGTTACTTTGGGCCTCTGTTCCCCTTTCTAGGACCTTCTAGTGAACACTCAAGTTCAGCTGTTTCTCATTGCTTCATTGAATGGTAATCAGACTCCCCAAGCTGCCTATAAACTCTTTGGAAGGCAGAGATGAGTGGGCAACTAACAGAAGGTTTAGAGCTAAGTAGATGGAGAAAGAAAAGTAATCATTCCACCAGTAATGAGGGGTTTGCGGAGAGATAGTACAGCGGGTAGGGCGTCTGCCTTGCACGCGGCTGACCCGGGTTCGATTCCTCCATCCCTCTCAGGTGCCTGTTCGAGCAAATGGATAAACAATGGGAGGACAGTGCTACAGTGCTATTAATGAGGATGTTGGAGATAGAAGTTAAGGCACTAATGTACTTGCCTTGAATTTCACCGGCCCCAGTTCAAATCCTAGAACCATATATGGTGCCCTAAGTACCATCCTAAGAGGTCACTTCTGAGTAGTAGCCAGGAATAGCCTTGGATCACCAAAGAGTATGGTCTTTCTCACACGCTCCCCCAAAAGTTAAATTAAAAAAAAAATGAATAGGAGGTAGTGGTGCAGGCTACATGAGGAAAAGAGATAGTGGGCAGTACCATTCATTAAAAGGGTGTTCTTGGGCAGGAGAAATAGTGAAACTGGTAAGGCCCTTGCCTTCCATGGAAGTCTGGATGGTTCCCCAAGCCAGAAGTGGTCCCTGAGCAGAGCCAGGAGTAAGCCTGATCACAGCTGGTGGCCAAAAAACCCATGTGTAAAAAAGGTGGGTTCCAGGGTCTGAGAATTAGTGCAAGGAACTGGAGCAGATGCTTTCCATCTAGGAGGCTGGTGTTCTAGGCTGCAGAAGCCTTTGAGCACTGGCTTCTACCACCCCTTTACCGTTAAGATTTTCCCTACTTTCCCTATCTGTAAAGTAATACAAAGTGGGGCTGGAGCGATAGTACATCCATCCCTCTCAGGTGCTTGTTCGAGCAAATGGATAAACAATGGGAGGACGGTGTCGAGCAAGTAGGGCATTTGCCTTGCATGTGGCCCACCTACGTTTGATTCCCAGCATCCCTTATGGTCCCTTGAGCACCCTTGGGAGTAATTGCTGAGTGCAGAGCCAGGAGTAACCACTGAGTGTTCCCGGGTGTGACCCAAAAAAGAAAATAAAAAATATTACATGGGCTACGAGCAGGGCTACTATGAAGGTCAAAATAAACTTTAATTTTTTTTTGCACTGATTTCGTAAAATATCATTTCTCTTCGCTACCACGTGTCCCAGTTTGCTCTCAGCTCCCACTTACTATGCTTGACACATACGAAGCATTCAATGCAGTATTGAATTTACTTATCTCCCTGAATCAAAAGATTTAAATATAACTTTATTCTGACCTCCGAATTTTTCCGACCCTTGTGCTAAGTAAACAGAAATAAAGACATTTCCGTTTCACCTTCAGAGAGCCAAGGTGTTGTATAAGATTCTCCCGTCTGTTTTCCTGCCGTTCCCTTTAGCCAAGCTCTCTCACCACTGTAAATTAATTTTTGGTTTTTGTTCTTTTTAGTCTCCTGGGAGAGGAGGGGGTCAAACTCGGCGATGCTCAGGGGTTACCCAGGGCTCTGCGCTCAGCGATGCTCAGGGGACCAGGAGGGAGGCCGAGGACCGAACCCAGATCGGCCGTGGGCAAAGAAAACGCCCTCTCTCGCTCAGGCCCCTAGAATCGATTTCTGACACAAAAACATTTCCAGGTCGCCGAATTCGAAAACAGCTTTTCCCCGCGCGACAGCCCAGCCTATGACGTCACCCGCCCCGACGCCGGGAACTGGCCCAAGGACGCCGCCACCTTCCACCCAGCAGCGTCGCACCACGCATGCGCTCGTGCTTCTGCGCCGTCCAGGGAGCAAGTTTGAGCCTTTTCGACACCCGTACGTCGCGGGGCGGCGGTGTCGAGATTCCTGCGACGCACGTTCCTGCAGAAAAGGCGGCGGAGGAGGGATGTTGTTGCACTGTCCAGGGGTTTGAGACTTTAGAACCCGTGACTCCTGGCGGCTCAGAGGCTGCGGGATCCTCTGGTAGGTATAATTCCCCGCTTTGCAAGAAAAGCGGGTAGTGCGCTTGGGGGTATCTTTCCGGTGCGAGTGGGCTCGCATCTTAAGAGAGCTAAAATGATCTTAATTCACTGCTTGGCTTCATTTAAAAGATGTTTTCAGGCTCGAAGAGACCGTTGAAGTGTTTGCTTGCATGCGGCCAGCCCAGGATTTGATCTAAGTATTTCATGGGAGCGACCCCCGAGCATCGCAGTTGTGAGCCGTCTTCCCCACCCCCCCCATTTAAAAAAATAAATTAAGATGTTTTCAGGGTCATAACGCTAATGCTAGTCTGGTCCAGGCTCAGCCACCGACCTGCTGTGGGGGTCTCTCACCGACTCCCAATAACCTCACCTGTAAATTAAAAGGTAAACCATGTCCTTAAGTCACTTGTCACTCCTGAATGTTAACTGTATTTCCGTTATGTCACCTGCGTCGCAAAGTCCTAAGAGTTAAATACCTTTGGCCTTACACACACCCTTGTGATGGCTTCACATGGTTGGGGGCAATGGGGTGCCCTGACCTCCTGAGTGCTTCACTCTTGACCGGTTCGCACACATACCGGTCTCTGGTACTTCCATTTTTTTTTTTTGTCGTTGTTGTGAACTCGGAGCTGTCGGAAGTTTGCAGCCTTTTGGCCGAGCTCTCTCTCAGTTATGGTTGTGACGCTTACCTGGCATTGCTGTGGTGCTCAATAGGGTTTCTCTCACCTAGTCCTGGTGCTCACACATCTTTTGAGTATGATGTTTGCCATGGACTAGCCCCCTTTTTGTGGTACTTACACACACCTAGTTATGGTGTCGCCAATAATTGCTTGTGGTGTCTGGAATAACACTGCAATGGTCACAGGCCGGTGCACTCGTTTTTTGGGGACAAGGCTTTGAACTGATGACCCTCTGCTTTCAAGGCCTGTGCTCTAAGCGACAGGTTTAGCACATTGATGCCAATTTACAGTTTTTGGGAGGTGATACAGGGGCACAAACAGTGGTGCTCAGGACATACTCCTCAGGGATCACTCTTGGCAGGGCTTGGGGGACCATATGGGGTGCCAGGAATTGAACTCTGATCAGCATCATGCAAGACAAGGGGCCCAACCTGTGGTACTGTCACCAGCCCCTAGTTGTCTTGTATGTGTATATTGGGGAGTTGTAGAGAAAGGCCACACCGTGGTGCTCAGGGCTTACTCCTGGCTCTGTCCTTAGGGATCTCTTCTGGTGAGGCTCAGGAGACCACATGGGGTGCTGGAGCTCGAACGCCATCTGGCTTTGTGCAAGGCAAGCACCCTACACCCTGTACTATCTCTCAGACCTTACCCTGATTGTCTTTTTAAATAATAAAAATATTGCCAACTTGTTGGGACCTGGAGGACTTGGTATTACATACCAATTTTCATTTCTCTATAGATGCTGATGGCCAACCTTTATTTTTTTAAAAAAACATTTATATTTGGATTTGGGCTCTATTCCCATCCTGCTAAGTGATCATTCCCAGTAGTGTTCAGAAGACCATGCGTTACTGGGGATCAAACTGGGGCCTCCTGCATGCAAAGCATAAGTTTAACCTGTTGATCTCTCCAGCCCTGTATGAACCTTTCAACGTAGATGCTTGTAACAATAAGATCTCCACCTCCCTTGTGTTAAAAAATATAATTCTTGTCCAGGTGCATCCTGTTCTCTTTGTTTGATTGGAAGCTTCAGATCCCAGCCTGCTGAACTTAATCAGAGACCATGGAGGCACCTCCGGTGACCATGATGCCTGTCACTGGGGGCACCATCAACATGATGGAGTATCTGCTTCAAGGTAAGTGGACCAGGAACCTGGATTGCTTGTATTCCTCTTCCCTGTCTATTCAAAAAAAATTTTTTTTGGTTTTGGAGCCATACCCAGTTGTGCTCAGGGCCTACTCTTGATTCTGTGCTCAAGTTTTGCTCCTGGCTGTACTTAGAGGACCATGTGGTGCTAGGAATTGAACTGGGTGTCCACAAGCAAAGCATATGCTTTACATATGCCTATCCCATTGTGTTAACTCGGCGGCCTATGTGTCTCTTTATTGTTCACATTGCATGGACGTATCAGACAGATACACAAAGGCAGACTGCAGTGCTCAGTGCTTCAGTGCTCAGTGGCTACTCCTGGCAGTGCTCTGAGGACCATGTAGTCCCAGGGATCAAACCAGGATCGACTGCATGCAAGACAAGCACCTTAACCTCTATGCTACCTCCCCGGCTCTGGTCATCAACTTTTAAATTACAGCTAGGGACATAAAAATTAAATTTGCCCTCTTAAACTTTTTTGTTTGCATTTTGGGTCACACCTGACTTTACTTGGTGGCTAATCCTGGCTCTGCGCTCAGGGGTTGCTCCCTCAGTGCTCAGAGTACCATGCTGTGCCAGTTATCAAACTCTGGCCTCCTGCATGAGCACATGCTTAGCCCTTTGAGCATTCTTCGTCCCTACTATCTGAAAGTTTCGTTTCTTTTTTTTTGAGGCGAGTTTTGGGCTGCATGCACCAGGTGCTCAAGGGCTATTCCTGGCTCTGGGCTCAGGGGATTTGGACCTGGGTTGTAGCCACTGTAGCTGCACACAAGGCAAGTGCCTCACCTCCTGGACTATCTCTCCAGCCCAGTTCCTAAGCATTTTAATGTATAGTTCTATAGTGATAGGTATGCTCACATTAATCTTTAGCCAGTTTCTTGAATCTCACAAAACTGAAACACTCTCCATCAAACACTGGTTTCACCTTTCCCCCCTTCCAGACTTTGACAGCCAAGTTCCTGTTTCTGTTTTAAAACTACTTCATATGTGTGGAATTATATAATATTTATCTGTAACTGGTTTACTTCGTTTAGCTTAATGTTGGGCTGGAGAGATAGCACAGCAGGTAGACGTCTGCCTTGCACACAGCCGACCCAAATTTGATTCCTCCGCCCTTCTTGGAGAGCCCGGCAAGCTACTGAGAGTATCTCGCGCGCATGGCAAAGCCTGGCAAGCTACCCGTGATGTATTTGATATGCCAAAAACAGTAACAACAACTCTCACAACTTGTTGTGAGACGTTACTGGTGCCCGCTCGAGCAAATCGAAGAGCAGGAGGACTGACAGTGACAGTGACAGCTTAACGTTAAGATTTATCTATATTGTAGCTGGAGCTACAATATAGATAAATTGTTGGGCTGGAGCGATAGTACAGCGGTAGGGCGTTTGCCTTGCACGCAGCCAACATGGCCGACCCGAGTTCGATTCCTCCGCCCCTCTCGGAGAGCCCGGCAAGCTACCGAGAGTATCTCGCCCGCATGGCAGAGCCTGGCAAGCTGCCCGTGACATATTCAATATGCCAGACACAGTAACAACAAAATCTCCAATGGAGACGTTACTGGGCCCGCTCGAGCAAATCGATGATCAACGGGAGGGCCTTTACCTTTACTTGCTTTACTATATTGTAGCATGTAACAAGATCCTCTTTTTATTTATTATTATTATTATTATTATTTTTAATGAGTTTAGGTAACACAGTTACAGCAGTGGTAACTTTTTGTTGTTGTTTATTTGGGTAGTGAGGGGGTGGGGCCTTACCTGGAAATGCTTAGGGGCTGTTCTTAACTCTGGGTTCAGGAGTGACCCCTGGCACTAGTTGGGGGACATATTTAGTGCCTGGAATTTGAACCAGGATCATAGCCAGTGCAGCTGTAAATGCCAAGGCAAGTACTAGTCCGCGGTCTCCTTTTATGGCTAAATCAGGTCCATTTTTTATATATTTACCACATTTTCTTTATCCATTTATCTGTTGGTGGATAATTGGTTTGCTTGCTTGGATGTTGTTAAATATGTGGCATGACCATGAGTGTACTTGGATATTGAGACCCAGAGAAAGTAACGTTTACAAAACCATAATCTGTAGTGGAGGAGTTTAGACTATCATTCAGATCATTTAGTAACTTGCTATGAACAGAATGGGTTTCTTCATTTTTCCTCCTCAGGCTGTTCTTCATTTGGCTTTTTCCACCTCACTAAGTGCCCCTGTCATTTATTTGCCAGTTGCTCATGCCAAGCATTGAAGTCAGTCTCCTTTTCTTTTTTCTTTATCCCTCTTCCATTTCATCTCTATTTTTTTTTTAAACAGGGCCACCCTCAGCAATACTCGAGGGCATACGGTGCCAGGGATGAACCTGGCCTCATGTGTGCTGGGTGTCTGCTGTACTGCTTGAACAGTCACCTGTGCCCTCTGTCCATCTCTAAATCTTTTTTTTTAACTCTGTGTGTGTGTGTGTGTGTGTGTGTGTGTGTAATTCCAACCTAAATCATGCCAGGCAAACACCTACCCACTGTACTATCACTCCAACAGTATGTATTTTTTTGAAGTAAATTTCTCTGGCCCCCAGAGAAATTTTTTTTTTCCCTTTTTGGGTCATACCCAGCAATACTTAGGGGTTACTCCTGGCTTTGCACTCAGGAATTACTCCTGGCAGTGCTCAGGGGACCATATGGGATGCCGGGGATCGGACCCGGGTTGGCTGCATGCAAGGCAAACGCCCTACCTGCTGTACTATCGCTCCAGCCCACCAGAGAAAATTTTTAAAGTAAATTTTTATTGAGGCAATACTGGTTTATAACATTATTTTAAGTTTTAGTTGTAAAAATATACTTTAGTGGGAGTCTGAAACTCAATCTGTGGCACTTACATGGTCATCAGAGCAGCTGACGGGCCCAGTTCAAGCGCTGAGCTGGGAGGAGCTTCCAAGAAATGCTGGTTGTGGACTCCAAAATTTAAAAACAACCAAAACCAAGGGCCTGAGAGATAGTGGGTAGGCACTTGCCTTGCATGAGGCCAACCTGGGTTCAATCCCTGCATCCCATGTCACACTTTAAGCCAGGAGTGATTCCTGAGTGCAGAGACAGGAGTAACCCCTAAACATCTCCGGGTGTGGCCCCATAACAAAAAGCAAACAAAGGCCAGAGAATTAGTACAGTGGGTAGCACACTTCTCTTGCAGGCAGGATTTGATTTCTGGCACCACACAGGGTCTCCCAGCACCTCCAGGAATGATCCTGAGGGTGGGGCCAGGGGTAAGCCCTGAGCACAGCCAGGTATTGCCCAAAATCAAAACCAAATCTTTTGGGGGAGGGTGTGTTTTGTTTTTTTGAGTCACACCTGGCAGTAGTAGGGGGCTACTCCTAGTTCCTTTTTGGGGACCATTCCCAGGAGTGCTTGGGAGACTATGCAGTGCTGGGGCTTGGGGATCCAACTTGAGGCTCTCGCATGCAAAGGATGATCTCTTGCTTCCTAAAGACTCTTCTTGTACCAAGTGAGACTATGCAAAAACTTGAAGAGATTAGTCTTTCATAATGTTATGCAGTACTTTGGCTGTATAGCCCCTCTGGAAGTAACATATTGAGCCTTTGCTTTACAAAACATTGCATTACGATATTTTTGTTTTTCACTTTATTTTGGTGGGAAGTGGGTGGCCGGACAGGGCAGTGGCGCAGGGAGCAAACTTGCAGGCTCTGCATGTGCTCCAGCCTGCTGAGCTAGCTCTCTGGCCCTTATTTATTTTTGTTGGTTTTGGTTTTGGTTTTGGGTCTACATCCAGCTGTGCCCAGTACTTACTCTTAGCTCTGCCTTCGGGGATCACTCCTGGCAGGGTTTGGGGGGCCATGTGTGCAGGGTGGGGGATTGAACCTGGGCAGACCGTGTGCAATGCAAGCATAGTATGTATAGCAAGTACAGTACAATGTAGTACTCCCCACTGTACTGTCTCTAGTCCACGCTTTTTTTTTTTAAATCTATTGCTAATTCTGTGAACGTAGGGCTTCTTTGGAACTCAGGGCTTCTTTTTCCTTCTTCAGGAAGTGTTCTGGACCACAGCTTGGAAAGCCTCATCCACCGCCTTCGTGGTTTGTGCGACAACATGGAGCCTGAGACGTTCCTTGACCACGAGATGGTCTTCCTCCTGAAGGGCCAGCAGGCCAGTCCGTTTGTCCTAAGGGCCCGGCGCTCTATGGATCGGGCAGGGGCACCCTGGCATCTGCGCTACCTGGGACAGCCTGAAATGGGGGACAAGAACCGCCACGCACTGGTGCGAAACTGCGTGGACATTTCCACTTCTGAGAACCTCACTGACTTCCTGATGGAAATGGGCTTCCGCATGGACCATGAGTTCGTTGCCAAGGGGCACCTGTTCCGCAAGGGCATCATGAAGGTCATGGTGTACAAGATCTTTCGCATCTTGGTGCCAGGGAACGCAGACAGCACCGAGGCCCTGTCCCTGTCCTATCTTGTGGAACTCAGTGTCGTGGCTCCAGCAGGGCAGGACGTGGTCTCTGATGACATGAGGAACTTTGCCGAACAGCTGAAGCCGCTGGTTCACCTGGAGAAAATAGACCCCAAAAGACTCATGTGATGAGGGTGGTTTTCCACCAGGGCGGCTGATCTGACCTGTTCTCTTACAATGGTGTCATCTTAGGTCTCCGGCTGCTTCCCTCATCCAGGAGGTCGGAGAGCACAGAGTCGCTTCTTTGTTTTCCTTGGGTGGCAAGTTCACTTTTGTGACGGCCTTTCCATATTGCAAACTCAGGGTGACACAGAATCTCTCTGATCCCTCTGTAAAGAGGGGAAATGGAAGTTAACTTTTGAAAAGAAAAATCTTGTTTTGCCATTTTTTAATAAAGTTTGTAAGATACAGACTAAGTGTGTTTCATGTGGAAATGAAAAATGTTTGTCATTCTTTTACTCTAGTACCACACTAACTTGGAATGGATTCATTGCCAGTTTGGGTAAAAACACCTAACAGTGGTAGGTTTTCTTTTAGTTTTAATTTTGGTAGGTAATTTTTAACCATTCTTGAAAGTAGTATAGGGGCCTGGGGAGATAGTCCAGGGGTTAGGGTGCAGGCCTTGCATGTACCCCACTCCAGTTCGTCAGCACTGCATGGCCACGCAAGCATCACTGGGCATAGCCCTGGAGGTCCCCGACTTCCGCCCGGGTAGCTTTTGGTCCCAGTGCCACAGCACCTAAGCAGCAATGTAGCCTTGGGACCTCGGATGGACTTAAGCACAACAAACCAAGTATCATTGGCAGCAGGCTCACTTGGGAAGCCCTTCCAAATAAAAGTTCTTTGCTAATTTTTTTTTAATACAAAAATAAGAAATATGCTTGTAGGAATGTTGTTTCATACACGCAAGCACATGCACACACACACACACACACACAAGATATATAGCAAGAGAACAAGACCAAAGACAATCCAATAGGAGAACTGACCCACACATCTGAGTTTGTAGGGGAGGAGGTTAAAGGGAGGAGCATGCAGACCTTGCAGGATAGAACGTGTGCACTGGTGATGGGTGTAATTATGTATACAGGAAACCATCATTTATAATACTGTAAATTGGGACCAGGGCTGTAGTAGAGAGGGTAGGGCACTTCCCTTGCATGGTTGACCTAGGTTCAAGCCCTGGCATCCCACATGGTCCTGCAGGCAGTGCCAGGACTAGTTTCTGGGTCAGAACCAAGAGTAACCCCTGAGCATTGCCAAGTGTGCCCCCCCTAAAGAAAAATTGTAAGTCACAGAATCTCAATAAAAAGGGAAAAGAGAAAAGTGCCTGTAGAAACCAGAAAACTATCTGTCTTGCATGTAGCCAAATCCTGGTTTGATCCGGGGCACCATATATCCCCTGAGCATTGTTGGATGTAGCCAAAACCAAAATAAAAAATGGGAAAAAAAAAACCCCTGTAATTTCATTCAAAGAAAAGTTTTTATTTTACTATGTATCCTTCTAGTCTGTAGATTTGTGTACATGAGTTTTATAAAAATATTCTGTACACGGGTTTGGGGCAATAATACAGAGTAGGTATGACACTTTCCTTGCATGTGTGCACTCAACCTGGGTTCAATCCCCAATACCTGGTATTCCCCTGAACACCACCAGGAGTGATCTCCGAGCACAGAACCAGGAGTAAGCCCTCACCCCAAAACCAGGTTCTGTATATATGATTGTAACTTTTTTTCTGTTTTATTAGCATTTTATTAATTTTTTTTTGGCCACACCCAATGGTGCTCTGGGCTTATTTCTGACTCTGCACTCAGAGGTTACTCCTAGTGGTCCTTGGGGAACCCTATGGGGTGCCAGGGATTGAAGCTGGGTTGACCATGTGGCAGGCAAGCACCCTATGTCCTGAACAATTTTTCCAGCCTCTATTTATTATTCACATCTTTCCAGGACATTAGAGTGTCCAGTACAAAGCAAAATGAACACATTTATTGAATTCTTATGTATCTGTGCTATCCTAAGTGCCTTAGGGGTATTACTTTAATCCTCACAATACTCATAAACAAGGAAACTGATGTTCAGAGAAATTATCAGGGTTGATATTTAAATATTGACAATTCTAATTATTGTATTCCATCATACAGTACTGTGAGTAAGGCCTTGACTTGTATATTCAATCCCTAGCACTGCATGTGATCCCCTGAGCACCACTAGGAGTGCTCCCTGAACACAGCAGGAGCACCACTGGATGTGGCATAAAATATCCCCCCCCCAAGAATGCCCTGCCACAGAGGCAGGGTGGAATGGGGGGCATGGGGGACAGGAGGGATACTGGGATCAGTGGTGGTGGAAAATGGGCACTGGTGGAGGAATAGGTACTTGAACATTGTATAATTGAAACCCAGGCACAAAAATTTGTAAGTCTACAACTGTAACTCATGGTGTTTCACTAATAAAAAATAAATAAATAAAAATAAAAAAGAGGCAAGCAAGGGGAGGGGGTGTGGGGTGTTGGACAGGAACCTGGGGGGAAAAAATGTCCTCCCCAAAACAAAAGAGATATCTGATTTTCCTGTTTGGATTTTTAGTTTAATTCCATTTAAAAATAACGCTATACCATTAGTGCTTCTAATTTTGTTGACATTAGTGATAATTGTTTATTTTTAATTCCTTGGCTGACACCTGGTGGTGCTTGGGGGCTGTTCCAGGCACTGTGCTTGGGAATGACTCTCAGCTGTGCCTGGGGAACCAGATGGGACCGGGGTCAAACCTTGGCTCCCTCAGGCAAAGCAGGCCCTCAGCCCGTTGAACTATCCACAAGCCCATTGGTGATGATGATGGCGGGGGGCAGCCTCCCACACAGTGCTCAGGAGTTCTGGGGTTACCTTCCAGAAATTCTTTGGGAACCAGTTCAGTAGTTCAATGGATGAGGCCCAAGAATATGATGCTGTTCGGCCCCGTGGTGCCAAGGATTGCCCTGTTCCTCCCTGCAGTGCACAGGTGTCTCCAGAGCTGTACCCGGTAGTGTTTGGGGGGATCTCCAGGATTATCCCCAACGGCACTCGGGGGACCATGCTATGCCGGAGGTAACCAGCATCAGCCACATGTGCCCTTACCCCTGAACTATCTCTGGCTCTCTTAAGGGTCATTTGGGAGTGTCTGAGTCACAGTAAGTGCTATTTTAAGGTCTCTGCACACATTGCCAAATGCCTTCCAGGAACATGCCAGTTTCACTCCTGCCAGCTGTGAATGAGGTTCCTAACACCGCTGCCAGAACAGGGTGTGAAGACAAAGACTTGTTTTTCCCATAAGATGACTAATAGTGACTAGTTTTTTGTTTTCTTTTTTTCAGTGCCAGGGATTAAATCAAGGGTTTCACACGTGCAAAACGTGTTTTCTTGGGCCTGGAGAAGTAGTACAATGGATAGGGTACTTACCTTGCAGATGGCCAACCTGGGTTTGATCCCGGAGCACCACTGGGTATGTCCCCCCAAAAAACCAAAGCCAAACTCAAAAAGTGATGTGCTTTTTCAGGGGCCAGGGAGATAGTACAGTAGATAAGGCACTTGCCTTGAACATATCCCATATGGTCCCCTGAGCATTGTCAGAAGTGATTCCTGAGGGTCCGAGTGATAGCACAGCAGGTAGGGCATTTGCCTTACCTGCGGCTGACCCCGCTTTGATTCCCTGCTTCCCATATGGTCTGCCGAGAACTGCCAGAAACAATTCCCGAGTGCAGAGCCAGGAGCAACCCCTGAACGTCACTGGGTGTACCCCACCCCCCAAAATGAACTATGAATCGGGGTTAAGGGATGTAACTCAGATGTAGAGCACATGTCCCTGGATTCTATCTGCTGCACTACACACACACACACACACACAGTATTAGCCAGAGGGATAGCTCAAAGTGCTGAGTGTATGCTTTGCATTTGGGAGGCCTGGGCTCAATCCCCAGCACCCTCTGGTCCCCTGAGCTCTTTTGGGAGCAATCCCTGAGCACAGCACACGACCAATAAACCCCAACAAACACCAGGCCCTCAAAAGCAATAAATATTAACATTGTTTAACCATGTTGCCTAATCTACTGTAAATTGTAAACAGAGATAGGGACAGAGAGAAGCTAGGAGTTTGGGTTCTTGGCTTACATGTGTCTGACCCTGTTTTGATCCCCAGCACTGCCAGGAGTGACCCCTAAGCACCAAGCCAGGAGTAGCCCCTTGAGCATCCCCAGTTATCACCCCCAAAACCAAAAATTGAAGATAAAATAGAAATATGTATCAATGAATTTAAATTTTCTATAATTTATCAGACTTTGTTATGTGAGTTACCTTTGAGGGGGCCTGTCAGGCAGTGCCTGGGGGCTCTTTCCAGTTGTGTCCTTAGGATTCACTTCCTGGCAGTGCTCAGAGGACCATGTGGTGCCAAGAACTGAACCTGGAACTCCAGTCTGTAAGGCATGCTCGCCTGCCCAATGTCCCTGGAGCATGAATTCCATTTTTCCATTGATTTTGTTTTAGTGTCACAGCTAGAAGCACTGGGATGAGGTACTCCAGGCTTGCGACTCAGGGAATATTCCTAGCAGTGCTCAGAGGATCAGGTGGTGCGGAGGATCGAACCTGCGCGTCAGTCCTTTGAACTGTCTTCCTAGTCTCTCTCTCTCTCTTTTTTTGTTTAAATTAACCTGAGAATTTAATATTCTCCCATTTAACATCTGATTCTTCTGTTTGTTTTTGCTTTCTGTTTAGACCACACCCAGTGGTGCTCAGGGCTTACTTCTGGTTCTGCGCTCACAGTTCCTCCTGACAGGGCTCTGGGGACCAAATGGGATGCCAGAGATAGAACCTGAGTTGGTTGCGTGCAATGAAAGCGTCTGACACACTGTACTATTACTCCAGCCCTATTGTTTTCAATTTTTCTTTGGGGAGGCCGCACCTGTTGTGCTCAGGAACCACTCCTGGCGGTGCTCACTGGACTGTGATCCAGGGAACCAAAGCACGACCAAAGCCTGTGCTCTTAGTCTTGGGCCATCTCCTCAATCCTGTTCCCATTTTGCAGGTGAGAGAGTAAGGCAGGGAGGTTACTCAGATTTTCTACTTCCATTGTTCAAAGTCAGAATTTAGTGGGCCAATGAGATGTTAATCAGCGGGGTTAATCACAGGGGTTCAAGTGTACCTTGAATGAGGTGAGCCCAGTCCGTCTCCGGAACCCCATGATCCTCTGAGTCTTCAAGTGCAGCCCTGAAAGCCCCCAAGCACAGTTGACTGAGAATTACCTGGAACAGCCCCCGGGTTTCCTGTTTGGAAGCTCCTCATCCCCCAAATAAATAATACCAAGTTGAACTTGGGACAGGAAGATAGTTCACAGGGCTAATGTACATGCTTGGCATGTGGGGGGACCCTGGTGGGCCCCAGCACCACATGGTCCTCTGTGCTGG